AGTTTTTAGTTGGGGACATGACATGTGCATATGACTGCAAGGATGGTAGAAGGCGAACTGGATGGATCTTGGTCTTTTTTCGTCTAACGATTCTTATGTTTTTCCTAACTTAAGATTTTTTCCAATAGAGTTGAGAAGATAAAGGGTGATCTGATAAAAGTCTTCAAGAATAAAGGGTAAATATATCCACTGAGCAGTGAGTCAGTAACCAGAGTTCACACACCACAAGAAATAAAGCACAAATCAATGCAACTCCTGGCATTTCTAATTACAGTTCAGCAAATCGACAAGCCTCTGACAGGTACAGTACAGTACTTTTGACTAATCTAATGACTTAGTCATTCACTTCAGTGCCAGAACCAAAGTCTTTCATACTTTCATCCATTCTGAGGATGTCCTTGCTACCACTGATATAGGGATCTTGCCTCCAACACTGTACTTGTTTTTGGTGTTCTCGGCCCCTGTAGTGTCTCAATCATAACATAACAGTCTGCCTCTTTCACAGCCACGTTTGCCTCCTTTTCTACTGTGCTTTCGATCACCTTCCTTTCCCCCATGGATCAGTATGTTTCTAGCCCAATGAGGAAGGAAGCAGTGCCGGATCTAGTTCTGGGGAATGAATTGGAGCAAGTGGAGCACGTTTCAGTAAGAGGCTTGAGCAGAGAAAACAGCAGCATGAGGAGAGAACTGAGTGAGGTCGAGCAGAGTGAGAATTCTGTTAAGGAATTTGGTGAGAGTGGGAATTTGGTGCAGAGGGGGAAAGAGGTGCAGAATTATAAAATATATAATAGTTATATTAAATAATATAAAACATGTCTGGAAATATAGCAAGGCAGCTGAGACTGGTTGCATGCACAATGTATGCCATGTGGAAACTTTCGGATGCTTTATGTGTCCTGGACAGACACGTGTGTAGGAAATGCCTCTGGCTGCTCAAGCTTGAACTCAGAGTTTCTGAGCTCGAGAAGAGGCTAGTGTCACTAATAATAAAATAATAATCCTTGCATTTGATATAATGCTTTTCACATCGTCTAGATGTCTCAAAGCGCTTCACAGAATATGGAGGCTGAATGGATCGAATGTTTTGAGGTGGTCACCTCACAGCCACAGAAGGTTTCAGTGACCACCCGGCATGGTAGGAAGAGAGGATGGACAGTGCAGAAATCCCCTGAGAGTGTGGAACTCACAAACCGGTTCTCTGGATTGAATACCAGTCAGGGTAATGACACGTCTGGGGAGGAGAGTCAAAAGCAAATGGATGCACAGGGAAGAGTGTTAATGCAATTGTCATTGGGGTCACAATGGTGAAAGGAGTAGACAGACGTGACTCTTGCATGGTATGTTGCCTCCCTGGTGCCAGGGTGGAAGACATCACAGGGAACATCCAGAAGTCATGGTCCATGTTGGGATTCATGACGAAGGGAAAAAAAGGGCTGCGATCCTACAGGGAGAGTATCAGAAGCTATGGAAAAAAAGAATGGGACCTCAAAGGTGGTCTCTGGATTGCTCCCAGTGCCTCATGCAAGTGATTATCAAAACAGCATGATCAAACACATGAATACATGGCTGAAGAAATAATAACAATAATAATCCTTGCATTTGATATAGCACTTTTCATGTCTTCGAGACGTCTCAAAGCGCTTCACAAAATAGACTGTAAAGTGAATTGACTGTATGTTTGTGGGCGAAATGTGGCAGCCAATTGCGCGCAGCAGTGTCCCACAACCATGGATTCAATCGTGGATTGAAATGACCAATTTATTATTGTTTTATTTGAGGGATTATGATCAGGCGTGTGGAGTAAGGAAACTTGCCCAAGGTTTCACCCTGCTGGGAATCGAACCCAGGTCTCTCACTTGCAAAGCGAGAGCTCTAACCAACTGAGTGACAGGACTCCACAAAGTCATCAGCAGTGTCCTGGAATACCGTAGAACAGCCTGGCTCAGGAACCATACTACCAAGACCACCACAGAGGACTGGCTCGATTCCAACATTCCATTGCCAGACATGTCACCTTGGAGCCAGTTCAGCTCCAAAGAGATCCTGCTTACCTCCACCTCCCCTAATCCCACCACCACAAGGAAGATAGTCACTAGTCGGTCGGTTGACATCCGACAGGCATGGGTTTGTGTCTTCACCAGGTGGATGGTAGGTACCAAAAACTCCCTTCTGTGTGTTGAAGCCCAGACACCAGCAGCATTCCTGACATGATGGTTTTAGGATGCCATGGGACATACTCCATTAAGGAAATGAAATAATCCACTGGTCATTTTCTCCTGCACATGTGATTCTATCTACTTTATGACACAAAATACACAAATCTATCTGCCCCCACTCAACACAATGTAAAGTTAGAAAATGTGACAGATGTTTTTTGTTAGAATTTAATGTAAACATAGCAGGATTATTTATTTTAAAATGCCTATGTACTTACATGCTATTGGCTCATTGGTAGCATTAATCTTTCACTTCACCCATTATGACAAGTGAAAGAATAGTGCAGAAAGGAGGGCTGCAGGTTTCTGTATCACTGGGACCAGTTCTGGGGCAGTTGGGACCTGTACAGGTTGGATGGGTTTCACCTGAACAGGGCTGGGACCAATGTCCTTGCAGGGAGGTTAACTAGTGATGTGGAGAAGGGTCTAAACTAATTTTGAGGGGGGAAGGGAATCAGGATGTAGCATTGCAGAGGACAAACAAGTTACAGAAAGGGCTGGGACAGACAAATAGCAATATAATCAGGAGTAATCCAGCAAAAAGCAGGGATTAGATGGGAGAGAAATGCAGAGTCGGTCTTGGAGTGCATGTGTGTAAATGCACGGAGTGTGACAAATGAGATTGGTGAGCTGCAGGCTCAAGTTGTCACATGGGGTTATGATGTAGTGGCAATAACGGAGACCTGGCTCAAACAAGAGCGGAATGGGAGCTGAATATTCCTGGCTACAATGTAGTCAGGAGGGACAGGTAAAGAAAAAAAGGAGGGGTGTTGGCAATATTGATTAAAGACATGGTTACGGCCCTGGAAAGGGACAATGTGCTAGAGGGTCCAAAAACAGAATCTATTTGGTTAGAGTTAAGTAGCAGAAAAGGAGCTGTTACTCTGTTAGATGTATACTATAGACCACCAAATAGTGGGAAGGAGATAGACGAGCAAATCTGCAAGCAGATTTCAGAAAGATGCAAAACCAATAGAGTAGTGATAATGGGGGATTTCAATTATCCTAAAATAGACTGGCAAAATAGCAGTGTAAAGGGCAAGGAGGGGGATAACTTTCCTTAACTTAACTCAGGATAACTTTCTGGATCAGTATGTTTCCAACCCAAGGAGGAAGGAAGCAGTGCTGGATCTAGTTCTGGGGAATGAAGTGGGGCAAGTTGGGCAGGTTTCAGTAGGAGAGCATCTGGACAACAGTGATCACAATATCATTATGTTTAGAATATTTATGGAAAGAGACAATGAGTAATCAAAGATGAAGATACTCAGCTGGAAGAGGGCTAATTTCAGTGAGTTAAAAAAGGGACGTAGCCAAGGTGGACTGGAAAGAAAGATTGGTGGGTAAAACTGCTAATGAGCAATGGGAAGCCTTCAAGGAGGAGATAGTTCAGGAACAGAACAAACACATTCCCACAAAGGGGAAAGGTAAGACATCCAAACCTCCCTGGATGAAGGAAATTGGGAATAAAATAGAACAGAAAAAGGACGCTTATGATAAATGTCAGGTCCAAAATACAGAAGATAATCAAATAGAATATAGAAACTACAGAGGAGAACAGAAAAAGGAAAAAAGAGGTGCAAAGAGATTGTATGAGAAAAGATTAGCAGGCAACATAAAAGGGAACCTAAGGTATTTTATAAGCACATAAAGAATAAAAGGTTAATAAAAGGTATGGTGGGTCCAATTAAAGACCAAAGAGGAAATCTTCTTGTGGAGGCAGAGGGCATGGCTGATGTACTGAATGAGTACTTTGCAGCTGTCTTCACAAAAGAAGAGGATGCAGCCAATGCCACAGTATCGGAGGAGAGGGTAGAGAAATTGGATAAGATAAGAATAAACCGAGAAGAGCTACTAAAAAGGTTGTCGGTGCTCAAGGTAGATAAGTCACCCGGTCTGGACGAGATGCATCCTAGGTTTCTGAGGGAAGTCAGGGTGGAAATCTCTCTCTATGTGTTTGTGAATATCTGTCTGAGTGTGTCTTTCTCTTCTGTATGTGTTTGTAAGTGTGTCTCTCCTCTGTAGGTGTTTGTGAGTATGTCTCTCTCATCTGTATGTATGTGTTTGTGAGTGCCTCTTCTATAAGTTTGTGTGTTTATGAGTGTCCTGCTCGGGTCATGACCCAACTGTGCAGCGCCTTGGGACGTCCTCCTTACGTGAAAGGCGCTTTATAAATGGAATCTTGTTGTTGTTGTTGTTGTCCCTGCGTGAATGTATATGTGTGTGTCTCTCTCTTCTATGTGTGTGTGTATGTCTTTTTGTGTCTCTAAGTGTGTGTGTCTGTCTCTCTCTGAGAATGTGTGTCTCCCTGTGTCTGTGAGTGTGTGCGTCTCTCTGTCTCGGTCTGTGTGCGGTGCCAGGCCCTGGGAGGCAGGATGTGGTGAGCTCCTGTAGCCTCAGTGGTGAGCTCCCGCTCCACCAAAAAAAACGGCCACCCAATTTTTGTTAAAGAAGCAATTAATATGTTTTTTGCAACAATCTAATATGTGTTATTTCCTCATGTTTATTTTGATCAATGAAGTGAAAAAATGTAGGTTGGCAGTAAAATGTATCTCAGTAGCACCAATCAACCCCCTGCAATTTTCTGCAAAATCTGTCAAAAATTTCCCTGCAATTGGCCAATCTCCCTGCAATTTTGGCAAATATTTCTGCACTTTTCTATTGGCCCAGCCTATAACCTTCTGACTCAGAGGCAAGAGTGCTACCACCTGAGGCAAGCTGATTTAAAAAATATCTGTGGAATGAATCGGAAAGCAATAAAGATTATTTTGGAAATTCTGAACTTACCGGCTGTTCAGGCAGCAATATATAATGGGGTTATGCATGGCAGAGCTCATTGCCAGTAAAAACACAGCTAAGTAAACCTGCTGAATGGGCTTCCAGCGGTTGATGGTTGGATACCGGATAACCACAAAAAAGTAGATGTGGTAGGGCAACCAGCAAATGGTGAACGCCAGCACAACCACAATCATCATTTTAACAACCTGCAGGAAAAAGGGAAATACTGCAGTAAAATTACACATTATGACGAAGGAGGCACTATCTTTATAAAAAAACGTTAACACACGTGTTTGACACCATCATAATGAAACTGAGGTAATGCTTTTCAGACTTGTCTTCTAAAATGAAACAATTTGCACTACCTTTCACACATTGATAGATCATGTTTAACAACTGATGAAACGGACCACATGAAGTAGAATTATGTTCTCTATTTACCATGTGAAATGGACCATGGTTTTTTATTAAAAAAAGCTACTGCTCAAAGCTTTCATGTACCCAAGGCAACAATTAACTGACTTTTGAGAACTTAGCAACATAAGAAGGTGCGTGAATGGAAGACAGATATAATGCATATACCTCATACATTCATACTCTCTCAATGTGTTTATTCACGAAATGACAATGTAATAAGCATGCAATAACACTTACCTCAGCATCAGCACATTAGTTTGAATTAGTGCTGGTCATTTTATCCATCCATTGGTGCATGTGTATTGTTAAAATGTGCCCTTGAAAAATCATAATGACTGGAAACTGATTTGAAAAGATGGATGTACAATCTGACATGCGCGGGTACAATTTTCAAACCTCCAGGCTGAGTATAGTTTTCATTATCTTTTGTCCATGATCTCCCTCGTTTCCCTTCTAGTATTCTCTCACCTCTCTCCTTTCTGTTTCTCTCTTTAACCCTTTCTAAATTAGTAATTAGATTGGGCTCTTGTCTAATTTAATGAAGCTATGAGCACCATCACCTCTCTCTCCCCTCTGTGCTGTCTCCTTTACCCTTCTCCAATGCCTGAGGGCTGACTATGCTCCGCTGGTCCCTTTGCTTCCGATCTTGGCGTCTGCATTTTGGCTGATACCCCTGACCCGAGCCACCCTCTCCCAAAATGCCCTTCGCCCACACTCTCTCCAAAGTCTGCCTCCCCTGGTCTGGAAAGTAACCATCTTTCCTCATCCACATGCATTCACTTCCAAACTCCCTTTAAACATAACGTGTATATGCCCTATTTTATTGGTCTCGAGTTTACACAGTAATAAATTAGGTATAAAAATAGATAGTTCAATGAGGAGATGCAGATCTGACTGACTCCCAGCTGTCTGCTGCTCTCTCACGGATACCTAACTGATCAATACTTTATTATCTGAAACCTGGTTGGTACTATTATTGTATCTAGTGATAGTGGTTCAATGCTCTCTCTATAATTATTTGACTGTTGAACTGTAATAAAGGAAACAATTGTTTAACATCCAAATTGTGTGCATTATTTCATCATCAATTAAATAAATACAACCATTTGCGTACAGCAGTGTCCCACAAACAGTCGTAGATTGAGTGACCAAATTATTATTATACTTTTTAAAAACTTGCAAAGCAATCTGTCAACCAGGTTCCTACTTATTGCTGTGTAAACAGATGTGTGGAGTACGGAAACTCGCCTAATGTTTTGCCCTGCTCTGGAATTGAACCCAGATCCTCGCACTTGCGAGGCAAGTGCTCTAACCACTAAACTACAGGACTCCACAAGATGCCATTTATGATTGTATTACCTGATGACATGTTATATTGAAGCTCATGCATTTGGTACCTCACACATTTGTATCAGTCTGGCTCAGTTAATAGCACTCCGATCTCGGAGTCAGAAGCCCTGGATTTGAGGCTCACATCGGAATTTGAAATCCATATAGTCTATGCTGAGACTCCAATACAGAGCTGGGGATGTGCTACATTGTTGGAAGTGCCATTCATTGGATGAGATGTTAAACTGTTGTCTTGTCCATAGCAATACTAAAAATCCTTGCATTTGGTATACACCTTTTCACATCAGAAAAACGTCTCAAAGTGCTTCACACAATTTATTGTGAAGTGGAGTCACTGTATTTTTGATGGCGAACATGACAACCCATGTGTACACAGCAATGTCCCACAATGGCATGAAATGAATGACCAGAGTTATTTTTGGGGTGGGGGTTCGTTGGTCAGGACACAGGGACAAACTTCTCTTTTTGAGTAGTGCCATGGGATCTTTAATGTCACCTAAACAGGCAAACAGGATCTCAAGTTAATGTCGCATCTGAAGACACCTCCAACAATGTAACAACAAACCACCAACACTGCATTGGATCATCAGTTTAGATTACGTAAGTCCAAAGTCCGGACATGGGACTTGAACCCACAACCTTCTGACTGAGAGTGCTTAAATCTTTTCTGATGACAACAATCATAATTTGCAGCCAACTTATAATAATATTACACATTGTTTGCCACTCGCTAGTGAAGCTCTTCTGAACTCAACTAAATACTATCTCCCACTGGAACCATTTATTGCTAGAAGCGATTTCAAATAGGAAATGTTGGAGATATTCACTTACGTGACAGTTAAAGCAAATGATCTTACTTTGGTATAATGTTGAATTGTGAATAAGAGAAATTAGATTATCCATATGGCAGCCCAACAGGTGCTACAGAAGCTCAGCTCTTGTATGATGTGACCAATTGCCTGTCCATCAAGTCTTGGATGAGAGCTAACTTTCTCCAGTTGAACATCGACAAGACAGAGACTCTCCTGTTTGGTTCCCATCAGTGTCATCTCACCCCAGATGCTGGCAGCATTAATCTACACGGATGTACACTCTACCTCACGGTGCTAGTGGATAAACTCGGTATCTTGCATGACTCTGCTGTTCTATAAACGCTACATTCATGCCCTGACCTGTTCAGCTCCCCCACTTCCCCCCACCCCCCGCTTCAGAACATTGCCCATCTCCACCACTACCCTTTTCCTCTTTGGGCTGCTGAGACCCTTATCCATAATTTCAAGATCCTCTCACTCGTTTTTAAATCCCTTCATGCCTTTGCACCTCCCTACCTATCCGATCTGTTTACCCACCTACTTTCTGCAATCCCTTTCTGCTGCCCTGGAGTCCTCTGACATCCTTCCCCTCTGGCCCACCACCTGCACCCATCCTCTGCGTTTACTCTCCTCCAAAGCACCCACTCCACCGTACTCGACGCCCTTACCCCCTCACCTCCCGAACTGCCTCCTATTCCCGACCCTCACTCTGATTCACCAGCCACCTCCACTTGCTCAAGGGCCAGGTGCGGGCTCCCGAATACACTTAGTTCAAATCCGGCCTAACTGTCCATCGCCGCATCTGGCTGGACCACATCAAAACCTACTGCTCTGCTCTCGCCTCGGCCAAATCATCCTTCTATTCCAGGTTAATCCTGGAGGCGAAGGGCAACCTCAGACTCTTGTTCTTCACCAACCGGCTCTTCCACCCTCCTCACCATGCCTCGCAGATTCTTTCCTCCGACTCCCACTGTGAGGAAATGCTGGACTTCCTAGAGTCCAAAATCGAGGGAATCCGCTCAGCTGCCACTGCCCTCCCAACTTCCACCCCCCCACCCCACATTCCGATCACTGCCCATCCCCCTTTCCACACCATTGAACCTGTCACCCCCTCCTCTATCATCACCACCATATCCTCCATGAAACCCACCACCTGCTCCCTGGACCTCCTTCTTAAATCCTAGCTCCACCTCTTTGCCCCACTACTCGCCGACATCATCAACCTCTCCCTGTCATCTGGCACTGCTCCTACACCCCTCAAAACAGCCACTATCACCCCCACCTTGAAGGAACCTTCCCTTGACCCAACACTGCTATACAGCTACTGGCCCATCTCCAACGTTCCTTTTCTGTCCAAGGTCCTTGAGAGATCCGTTGCCTCCCAGCTTTGCTCTTTCCTCTCCTCCCACTCCCTCCATGAACCCCTCCAATCAGGTTTCCATGCTGCCCACAGCACGGAAACTGCTCTGGTCAAGATCACAAATGACATCCTGACCATGTGTGACCAGGGCTCCCTCTGCCTCCTCATCCTCCTCGACCTCTCCACCGCTTTTGACACTGTGGACCACTTAATCCTCCTCCACCACCTCTCCTCCCACCTCAACCTCCAAGGTTCTGTCCTTGACTAGTTCAGGTCCTACCTTTCACACCACCTCCACTTCGTCTCAGCTAACGGCTTCTCCTCCAGCTCCCGCAACGTCTCATGCGGTGTTCCTCAGGGCTCTGTCCTCGGTCCCCTCCTCTTCACCCTCTACATGCTTCCCTTTGGTGACATCATCCACGCACATAGGGTAAATTTCCACATGCATGACACCCAACTCTATCCATCTGCCTCCACCCTCAACTCCATGAGTACTGGCGTCCTGACCAACTGCCTGTCCGACATCAAGTCCTGGATGAGGGCCAACTTTCTCCAGACTGAACGTCAGCAAGACCGAGGCCCTCCTGATTGGCTTGCACCAGCGCCTCCGCACCTCAGGCACTGGCAGCATCAGCCTCCACGGCCGTACACTCAACCTCAATAAGCCAGTCAGGAACCTGGGTGTCTTGTTTGACCTTGAACTGTCCTTTCTCCCCCACATCTGCGCCATGACTGACAATGCCTACCACCACCTCTGCAGCATTGCCAGACTCCACCACTGCCTCACCCCTCAGGCTGCCGAAACCCTCACCCACGCATTCATCACATCAAGGCTCGATTATGGAAATTCCCTTCTCATCGGCCTTCCCAACTCTTCCCTTCACAAGCTGCAGATCATCCAAAACTCTGCAGCTCGTGTACTCTCGCGCACCAGGCTCCGTGACCCCATCACTCCCACCCTTGCCCAATTCCACTCGCTCCCCATCCCTCAGAGGATCGAATTCAAGATCCTTGTCCTCACTTTCAAGGCCATCCATGGCCTTGTCCCTCCTACCTCTCTGACCTGCTGACTCCCTACCAAACTGCCCGCCCCATCCGTTCATCTGGCTCCGGCCTGCTCCATGTCTCTCGCCCAACCTGCCCTACCATCGGTGGCCAGGCTTTCAGCCTCTCTGCCCTCACACTCTGGAACTCCATCCCACGGTCCCTTCACCTCACTTCCTCCATTCCCCCCTTCAAGGCCGGTCGCAAGTTCCTTCTCTTCGAT